AAAGTAATCGATCACAAAATCATGGACCATTTTCGTAAGGGGTGGTAAACAGGCTTACAAAAGCAAGAGCTTATAAAAGCTAAAGTAAGCACTACATCAATAATGTAATGTTAGCTAGCAAGCTAGCGGAGGCACCTCCGGTGTGGAAATAAACAGCGACAACAACTCTTCCTCTTCTCTAAAGCAGCCCAATATGGCCTCACCCCATTTATTGTGTGCTTCCGAGGGCAGGTTTATGCAAATTTTAGATTTTGAGATGTCAACAAGCCGGGAAGAAGCTTGTTTAAAGGGATAGTTCACCCAAAAATGAAAATTAAGTCATTAATTACTCACCCCCATGCTGTACCAACCCTGTAAGACCTTCGTTCATTTTCGGAACACAAATATTTTTTATTTAATTTGAGAGCTGGATCACTGCTACATAGGCTCCTAAGGGAATAAAACTTGACGGCCTAGAAGTCATTGAAGAAAAAAAATATTTCATGTGACTACAGTGGCTCAACTATAAGTTTATCAAGCGACGAGAATACGTTTTGTGCGGAAATAAAACAAAAAAAGGAAGAAAAGGAATAGTTGAATAAAGTCGTCATTTTTGTTGTTGTTTTTTCGCACAAAAAGTATTCTTGTCGCTTTCTGGGTCGTCAAGTTTAAATCCCTTAGGAGCCTATTTAGCAGTGATCCAGCTGTAAAATTTAATCAAAAATATCTTCATTTGTGTTCCGATGATGAACGTAGGTCTTATGGGGTTGGTACAGCATGGGGGTGAGTAATCAATGACTTAATTTTCATTTTTGTGGTGAACTATCCCTTTAAGTCCCTACCAGCCATTTGTTATAGTCCTTTAAAAACGATTTCTGCAATAGAAATTTGGCATTGAACTTTGAGCATTTTAACTTGGCAGATGTTGTTTATGCTCAAACAGCAACATTACACACTAACTAAAGGTAATAAATTTAAATCATAATCAAGGACCCAAAGTCAGTTTATTTGTCCTATTAATGTCCTATTATTGTTGAAGTACATTTTAAATCATTGTTTTAATGATATTTTGTCATGCGAAAATAAGTACTCTTATTTTAATGTATTGACTATCATACTAAAGAACATGTAAAGCGCCTAACTATAATTTTAACTGTTGTGTTTTATTTTATATTACATTTAAAGTTAAAATGTATTAAATATACTAAATTGCAACTTCATACTTACAAAGGTGCTAGCTACAAATTGTATTTTAATTTTGTATTTTGCATTAAAGCTTATTTCAGCAGTACATTTTAACAATATTTCAAAGACAAGAGAAGTAATCATGAAATGTCATGTAAAGATTTACTTAAGTCATAAGCGGGTCCTTAAACTAAGGCAGCCCAAAGCTTTTTTTGAGTTAAAAAATTATATAAAATACATATTTGTGAAAATACATAACCAGCTAGTGTTCAGTGCTATCTGTTTGGCTTAGCTCTATTCAAAGCTGTAGACTTGTAATAATGTTTTTAATTCCAGTGGTACTGGTGGATTTCCGTAGCCTGACTACATCAGACTTCCTACTTCCACTAATTTCATTTTGCTCCTGTAGTCAGTTTGGGATAACAGTCTATCTTTTAGTTTTCCAGCGGCCTTCGGATGGCCGGCCAATCAACAAACAGAGGGCGGGCTGAGAGCCGTGATGTAGACGCTAAGCACCAAGTTTTACATTGTTGGTTAGAGAAATCGAAAACCAAAACGGCCGCGGAAATGGGAAACGAGACACTAGATGCATGCATGCACCTTTCTTTTCCCGTCCTTAAATATTTCCATGTCATGCTGTAATCTTGAAATTAAGTTGCAACATTTCCGACAGACTCGTGAGGAACAAAGAGCTGTGTTTAAAATATCTAATCCTAAGTTTGAGAGTTGGCTACAAATATTTTCTTAAACAAAGTTTAGAGGCCGTGATTGTACCGTGGATGCGTAGATTAATTTAGCATAATCTGCGAAAGTCGTTTACAGCCATGTTCACTCTGGTTTTTCGGTCGCATCATCAAGTGTTTACATAGACAGTGGCCTGAGATTTCGTGTTTTCAGACGATCTGTGGGGATGGATAACCCAGTTTTTTATATATAACCATTACACTTTTCAAATTGTTGCCACTCACATACTTTGCACATTATCTGTAACTTTTTCCATGTGGGGTCTGACATGCATGACGTATTTGTTGCCTTCATCCAATAGCGTGCGTGGGAAAGTGTTGGTATTGGTTACGAGTTTGTCAACACACTGGCGCGCTGATATAAAGTTGCTGTCTGTCCACATCTTTTCGAGAAGATTTCAGCCCAGGAAAGATTGAACTTGTTAACTCATTTGCCAAGGAACAAATTACAGATTAATGAGATCGCCCATACACAAGGCGAATTATTTATCATGTTTAACCACTAGATATCAGATTGCAAACGCCAGGAAGCTTTACAGTGGAAGTTCGGTCATAGATTTAAATTTGATGCTGGATGTCTGTGGTTCGAGCGCATAAATAAACTTATCTGATTGGCTTACGGGTAACCAATGATTTTAAACTTCGGAGAAGTGCCCCCTAGCGAGAGAGAAAACACTTCTCTAATATGCCATTCCAGACTCTGTCTACAAAGCAAAGTGAAGTAGATGAGTCTGGTATTACAAGGCTAGGATTTCCGCGGGAGATTCGAGCATGTCTTTGCGTCATTACGTCACATCTGTACACATAAAGAAGGAGCCTCGGCTAGTAGGCTATATAGTAGCTAGGCTATATATTATAGATTTATAGCCTTTTCTCACAGCACTTGATATAATTAAACTTATCAATTTGATGGCGGATCCAGAAAGGTTCAAACGACACGTGACAACAGATTCACCCGCTGTAAAATGCAAAAGACTTTGTTCGGACTTCGGAGTGGCTACAGAAAAAAAAGAGAAAACAACCCAATCCAAGCGAAAACAAGGATACATCGAAAGGACATTACATGTAGTCACGCAATGCTGACGTTGACATTTGAGAACAAAGTATAATTTTTATACAAAGTATCATAGTAATACGTTTTGTGTGATGATAAGCGATTTTTAGATTCAATGCGATTTAATGCAATGTCAGAACCAGAACAAAAGTGGATGTTATTACTTGTTCAGATGACATTTTCTGGTGAAAATTATTATGTATTCCAAAAAGAATAATCTTTGACTCTGAATGCCAGTATTGACAGTAGCGCGGTGACTGACAGCTTTACACTCTCCTCAAACATTGTGTTCATCCACGCTGTGCGGTGTCAAACTACAGCGAATGACTGCAATTGCAGATTTCGATCTGAGATGGCGACAAAGAGGAAAACTGTGGACTGCAGCGTCAATAAAAATTTTATTTATACAACATTTGAATTTAATTTCAATTAACATTTAAATTCCCCAAAATATTTCTTTCAGTTTGCACAAGCATTATTCTTTTAAAGTATATTATTTCTGTAATGCAATTTTATGTGTGCTAAAGCGTAATTCTTTTTCAGAAGGTAATACTTGCCATGATTTTGAGAAACCCAGTTAATTGTTTAGAAAAACTGGAGACGATGCTGACAACAGAACGCTAACACTACTTTAGAAAACCTTGCCCACCACCCACATTACGAAATAGTCACCACAAACAAACACTTAGTTCTAACAGACAGCATTGATGCCAAAAATCCAAAACCACTTTATATTCCAATCCGTGTTAGTGATATGTAGGTCACGTAACATACATGTGCATGTTGATTGGGGTCACGACACGGCCTTTTGATCGAGCCAGACAGCATAGTCTCTCTATCAGCCAATCAGAGCCAATGAATCCTCAGGAAGGTCAAAGACATTTAGTGATCAGGATGTTTTCCATTAGTAAACCAACCCTCCACACACAATGTCCACACATGCTTCAACACAAGCTTAATCACATGCAATTTCAGGAAAACACTGATACTGTCTGTGTTGGATTGCCTGAGTTTTTACTTCCACATTGATGGATCCTGAAAAGGCTGTGCAACTGTATTGACATTTTCTTCATGATTCTGGTACTGCTCTAACCACACTGGGTTATAGATTTTGCCTACAGTATAAGCAGATGTGTTTATTGTTCTTTTGGTTTGAAGGTTACATTAAAGTTCAAATGGTATTTTGACCTTTTTTCAAGCTACATGTTACAAAATGCTGTGTTAAATAGTGAATAATAGTCTGTTAAAGGGAGTTACTGTGCAGTACTGTACGTACTGGAGTCACTATATTCCCCATATACTGTCACAACATAAAAATAAGCAAAGATTGCAAATTAATAAATATTAAGAACATATTTTTTTCATTACACATTGTACTTTTACTAAATAATGAATAAATAATGTAATGTTAAGACACTTGCATTGATAAATTGTATTATAGTTTAAATGTAGTGCTTTTTCGACCCACCTAAGTAGGATTTAAGTGCATCTTTATATGTATTTTCATAATTACGAAAAATTGAATGTAATTTCTATTTAAAGTTGAATGCCATATCTTTTATATATTTGTATTTGCACATTTGTAATGATTACGTTGCAATTAAGTGTCTTTAGAATATATTAACTTTAAATGTAATATTGAATAACACTTAAGTATGTTACTTAACACATCAAAATAAGTATACTTTTTAAAAGCATGACTAAATATTATGAAAGCATAATGAATTACAAAATGTAAAACATTTTAAAAGACACTTAATTGTGTTAAGAAATATTTAAGTGCACTTATTTTTCACAAAGGATACACAAAAGGTTAACAGATGTGTTCTATCGAATGTTACTATATCAGGTATGTTAACATGGCTGAATATGGCTAATCAGCATCAAGGACCCTATTTCACCAACTTTATTTTTAGAAATGGCATACAGTTTGTTTCATATCCAGTGAGTGAAATGAAACATGCTCACTTAGCTGGGAAAAGATCCTGGGAAAATGTGTTATTCCAAATCACTCACTCTCTTTTTGGACTATTTTTCAGGAAAATTCCGTGAGAAGGCGTCCATCCTTCACAAAATTGCCAAAAAGAAATGCCAAGTGGAGGACTCAAATGGAGTTGCTGGTAAGTGGTACAGTTTGAAAAAATAACATGCATTAATAAATTCAATACTTACTAAGGTATTCCTGGTAAATTATGTACTGAGCCTTTCTCTGTTAAATTTGCCATTTCATGTTAAATGAAGACCCAGCTTTTTTCAACCAATTTCAAATTAGCTTCTTAAGATAACAAATGCTTGCGGACTTTATAGAAACAAAATAAAGTATCATAATATATTTAAATCCCATAATATAATTTGTGTGTTGAATACACTTTCATTTCAAGTGCAAAATTATGCTAACAGTTCCATATTAGCATATTAGCATCAAAAGCAGGGCATTTGAGAGCACGCAGCTTCTTTGATGTGACCACAGTCTGTTCAGAACATCTTTAACCCTTTCAAATCAATCTACTGCACTTTCTCCATCCTTTTTTTTTTTTTTTTTTTTTTTTTTTTTTTTTGATCTGGTCAATATGTATATGATATAATATTATGTAAAACTTCAGAATGTGAGAGTTTGATCGGTTGTGGAAATTACGGTATTGGGGAAGTTCAAAATAGGAATATCCAGGCCTGGTAAATTAACTTTCTACATGCAACACCACTTACCCAATCTGACTATACATAAGTCTGATATAAATGTAAACTTGACAATATCTTTTAAAGGGTTACTTCACCCAAAAATGAAAATTCTGTCAGTATTTACTCACCCTTATGTTGTTTCAAACATCTATGTGTTTATTTGTTCTGCTGAACACAAAGGAAGATATTTGGAAGAATGTATTAATCAAACACATCTCAATCCCCATTGACTACCATAGTATTTTTCTTACTATGGTAGTCAATGGGGATTGAGATCTGTTTGATTAAAACATTCTTTCAAATATCTTAAGAGGTTTGAAACAACATGAGGGTGTTTTCATTTTTGGGTGAACTAACCCTTTAAAGACACTGTGTTTGTGGTGTAAGGTGCTGAAAAACAGCGGCTAAAGACTAAAGTATCTTAGACCTGCCTTAAAATGATTTTATTTGGGGACTTTTTTTGCATGTGCCATTTATTTTATTTATTTGTCCATTTAGTACATTTCCTGTTTGTGTTATAGATAAAAATCTGCCAAACAGCTCCAGCGTCGAGGTGGACGTAACTCCACCCATGAATGGCACCGCTGGACAGGATGGCGATGCGGTGAGTTGTTGATACTAATCATCTGACGACTGAGAGGCGAGCAAGATCTTTTAAGCGAGCAGCTTCAAGCTATGTTGTTCTCTTTTGCTCCGCATCACACTACACCACACCACACGATAACGCTGGATAATAATAAATAAATAAAAATAATAAAAACTTGCGTGCCGTTGTAGTTCAACTTTATTCTGTTATGTGGTTTATTTTGATAGGTGAACTGAAGTGTTAAGTGGAGAGCTAAACGAGAGATATTGTTATTTTGCCCCTACGCTTCACCGCCGTGCGTGTTCTTTAAGAGAAACACAATCTTTTTAGCTGGCCATTATAAATTGCTATTTTTCTGCGCTAAACTAGTGAATTTTCCCAAGATATATTCAGAGATGATAAACAAGATGTTATAGAATAATAATTTAATAAAAACCCAATTTTGACAAAAAACTGACATTCAATCTAGACCTTACTGAAAACGTACCAGCGCGACATCTGACGGGTTTTCCCATCGCATCACACACACACACACACATATATACTGTATATATATATCAATGTCATACAACAAAAAATGTCTGGGGGCTATAAAGGTTTTGGGATTGAAATGATCATAAAGGCTAGTTATGGATTGTAACTTAAAATAATTGGCTGGCTTGGAAAGTGTTAAAAAACAATAACTAATAAAAATGCCCAAAGAATAACAAAATAAAAACTGACAAAAAAAAAAAATAACATGAAAATGTCAAATATGCTAATAAAAACGAATCCAACATATTAATAAAACTATAATAGCATCTCAATGATGCTAAAATAACACTGACTCGCACACACTACTGTACGCACCGTGATTTCAACACAAAAATAGGACAGAAAGTGAATCATAGCGCTGACTTTGGAAACAGAAGTGAAGGCCAAGTCACGGCAGGACTGAAAAAAAACAACTCACGCTTATTATGACTCAATGGAAAACACATTTGGTTGTCTCTCTCCCGCTGTACTGTCTCTCACACACACACACACATACGCACTGTCCTGTGTTCAGAAGATGAAGCGTTCTCATCCTCTGCCCCCTGTTGGCACGGCAACATGCCAGCAGAACAGACGGCACAGCATGCATGCAGGCTGAGAGAGACCCTCTCAATGTCACCGTGACTACCCGGTCACAAGAGAACCATCCTTCATAGACTGTGTACACACGCACGATAGATCGGTGTGTGAGGCTGGCATCTGTCAACAAACATAACATGGGTTTTTCTTGAGGCATTGCCATAAGCAAGTCAAGTCAAATTTTTATTTAGCGCTTTTTTCAGTACTATGCAAGCTTGTTTCTGCCAAGGAATACAAGTGTAAAAAGGTAATTGTGACTTTTTTTCTGCAATTACGAGTTTACAGTTTTTATCTCACAATTCTAAAAAAAAAAAGTCTGGTATTATGGTGTAATTTGTGTTATCTCTATTAAAATATTAGTTCACAAATCTGAAATAGAAAGTAATTAAAACTTCATCAGATCTGAAATAGAAAGTAATTAAAAGTGTACAAAAAATAATTTCGTCCTCACTGTCTCGTTTTTGTTTGTGTTGATTTGAATAAGCTGTCGTTTCTGAAGGTCAAGGCATATTTTTGTTGTACTGTACTGGTGAAAGGACACGAGGAGCCATCGAGTCCTGCGAATCCTCGTCTCCCTGCTCATGTGGAAAATCATCTACATTATTGATGAAGAGAAGGATTCATTCTTTTAGCATTGTTTAATGTCTGAACAAATTGTCCTGGACATTACTAAAAAAAGAGAACGAGGGAAAGGAGATAAGAGAGAATGAGAGAAGAGCCGTCGTGTCCTGTAAACCTTAAAAAATCGAATGCTACATTATTGATTAAGAGGAGGATTCTTTCATTTAGCTTTTTACACTGCTATTTTGAACCAATAATCAGAACAAAAGGCAGTTGAAGGATGACCTGCTTAATTTAGATATTTATCTGGCTCGAATATAATTAATCTAACTCCATTAAAGTTTTTGTTACGCTCTCTTATTCTTTAAAGGTAAAGGTATTTCTGAGAACTGATAAGAAAATGTGGGATTTAACCTGAACATTTAGATAACGTAAGTTGTAATCACTTTAGCTTTCAACATCATCAGTGATAAAAGATTCTCAAAGCCTTTAAAGCAGGCAAAGTTATTTATTAAGTTGCATGTTTAAAAATACAGACATGGATATAATGGAACAACAAACTATATAGAAATGTTCCACTGTTGTGCAGAAGAGGCCGTAAAAGCCTTTCCAAAAGTATGAGGTTACGCCCTGGTGTGCGGGAGTTGCAGGGTTAAAGCCTTTCTCCAAGATCAAGTGTTACCTTTCCTTCGTATACTCTGAGCAAAGCATTGTTAAACATGAGTGGAATACCAAGACCGAAACAGACCGACAGGAAACCAAAAGATGAGGCGTAAGCAATAGTACCTAGATTGTACATTAGGAAACTTTAATATATCTATTAAGTTTAACACCATTCAGTTCAGTTTATAAGCTGTCAGATGAGAGACCAAACATGGCATAGTTACATATTAGGTGTTTCTCAATGTCAAGGATACTTCCTTGGCAGGACGGGTCCTTCCAAGTCATTTCCTTCAGAGGCTAGGCAAGGGTCCTCTTTAGCATTCGGAGAACACGTAAATGGAACAGGCTAGCAAGTGCACGTCATTGCGTTACATCAGTGAAAGGTCCGCTTCGGCGCTGCAAAAATCATAGTGCTGGTGTACTGCACTGTTTGTTGACAGTCCTTATTTTGTCTTGTCAGTCCTCAGAAATAAATAATTAAATAAATAAAGTATAAGGGATAATGTATAACCAGGCGGTTATAGTGAATACAACCCCGCAAACTCTAAGGGTCTTGATTGAATCAGCCTGAAGGGGTTGTACGTACCAAACGGCTACCAAATAAATCAATAATTTGACACAAAATATTTATTTAAAAAGGAGTTTATTCATTCAAAAACGATTATATTACCGGAGTGAACAGAACTAGCACTACGTCCATAGCAACACGATCTAGCTGTTAAAACACATGCAATGGTAAAATATGTGACCAACAAAAAAGGCTATAACGTTATATGAAGTAAAAATTAAAAAGTTAATCACCAGTAAAAGGGAACAGCTTTAAATCCCCTCAGCAAATTTGAGCCGATATGTTAAATAGTTGAACAAACATTAAATAAATGGCTAAACTGAAATTATACTTGCTTACATTTGAAAGCATATTGCCGTTATCACTCCGACTCCGCTAACGGTCGACATTTTTTTATTTTTTGAACAAGATAGCAAAGCTGCGCATAGGATTGTGGGTGATTTAAGAGCGCGAAGGCTACACATATGCATCCTTTCCTGTGTATGGGATATTTTCCGAACTAAGGACTCAGTCCTTGGTTGAAATTCTGAGGATCCTCGACATTGGAACAGTCCTTCGACGGACGTCGATGACGTAGCATCCTCGAAATTCCGGCTTCCGAGGATCCTTCCTTGACATTGAGAAACGCCTATTGTCAGGGATCTGCCAGGCTCCATCACCTCCCAATCAAAATCACAAAGATCGCAATGTATTAATCACCCACCTGCTCTTCATCTACTCATCATCACAGACACATATAAGCACACACCTGACTCTGGCACATTGTCTGGTCTTGTTTATGAGTAAGGACTCACCTTCCCATCTGCACTATACTCCTATGAAGTTTATGCATTGTCTATTCATCTGCCATCGTGTTTCTCTAAGTCTCCATCATCTTCCTGGTCTCCTTCATCTACTCCCCTTTTTCCAGCCACCTCTCTTTCAGCATCGGTGTGTGCTTCCGCCATTTACCTTCTTGTCATCCGCGGCCTCCTGAACCATCTCCAACGGAAGAACTTTCAGTATCTCTATTTACCATTTCTCAAAGACATTCTCATTTACCTGCACTCGCTGGTGCTCTCAACCTCCTGATATTAATAAATCTGTTTACCAATATTTTTGTGAGTCTTGGTTCTGTAACAGAAGACCAGACCAACACAGTTTGAGAATAAGTTCTCCAGATCCGTTCCAGGAGGTTGGATACACTCAAGCGAGCACTTTCAGGATCCACTTTTCAGGATCACACATCACCGCCACCCCTTCACCGCCATCCCATGGCCAATCCAGGCCCTAATTTGGTTCGGTGGAGGATTGCGACGGGATTCTTTTTCAGTGTTCGCTAGCTCTGGAGAGGCAGTCATGTCGCCTCGTTTCTCCACCATCAAAACTCCAATGTTTCCTCGGATTCACAAACTTCTATCGCTGGTTCATTCACAGTTACAGCTCCATAACCTCTCCATTAACCAACCTCCTTAAAACAAGCCCAAGTCTCTGTCCTGGACATCAGCTGCCACTCAGTTTTCAAAGAATCCTCAAAGGCCCAAAGAATCCTTCACCAGTGCACCGCTCCTGATCTACCCAGACACCAACAAGCCATTCGTCGTCGAGGTCGACACATCTACCACCGGGGTAAGAGTGGTGTTGTCTCAGAAGCACGTCTACATCCATGCACCTTTTCAAAGGAGATGCTCTATCACGTCTACATACTTCTGAAGAGAAATCCGCAGACCCTGAGCCCCTCTTGCCTCAAAAGATCATCATCTGCTCCATCCAGTGGTCCATCCATCAACAACTCTCCTCCTCCAATGTCGGCAAACCATCTATGCCGATGTGTCCACCAGGCTGTACCTATGTCCCCAGGGCTCAACGCACCAATCTCATGCTCTCGGCACATTCATCCGTGGGCACTTGCCATCCAAGGGCCAACCGTACCCTCTCACTGCTACAAGATCGCTTATGATGTCTCAATATGGCCGGGGATGTGAGAAGGTTTGTCCAGCGATGCCCAGATTGCGCCATCTCTATACTACTTGGCTTCATCACTGTCTCCTCTCCACCAATAAGCTGGTGTGTGGTGGGAATTCTGGAGCAATATGGCTGCCGTCGTATCTTCCAGGTTGATGCTGCACATTGG